TTCTCAATTAACTTGTTTGGGCAAAATCGACTATAAATAAAATTCATAAAATTTGTTGTTGACACTAAATACTTTATTAGAAATTCTTAAGTTGATGACAATTCCAGCCCTATGTAAGTCTCAATATTTTCTATGTTCTGAATTGAAATACTTTTAACTATTAAGTTACGTGTATATTCTCAAAAAAAGGGGGACATATTTTTCTTATTTTCAAAAGAATACTAGCCCATCACAGACCAGACAAATGTCAAACAATAGAGTAACTTTTTTTAATGCAATGATCTATCGATTGTCACTTGTGAATTTTTACTGCCCCAGAAACAAAAAATGAGTCAAATCATTGAAAAAACTCTATGCAAAAAATTGTTATCAGTTTTGTAAACCGTTTTCACAATTTTAACATATTCTGCGGTTTTTGAACTTCATATTTTAAAATAACTAACTTTAAATTTGACATATCATGCATTGCTAAGGTGTCAGTGTAGGATACATTCGATATCATATAAACTACTTATGTATGTATATATTCTTTATTGAGTCAATTAATCTCCCTTCTATTCTTTATTAACAAAATGCATTTTAATAAAATCTATACTTTTTCGATATATTTATATAATACATTTTTGATTTATATTATATATAAATAAATTATTAAATAGTCTTTTGTTTAAGTTCAAAAAGCATTTTAAAAAACTCATTATCAAAATCTTGTAATTATTTTTATATTATAAAAACTAAATATTCCGCTTAAAAGTAAGCTTTTGCAAATTCAAATAGTTTATTTGACAGATCAATATGAACTCACCACTCAAAAATATAAGACAATCAAGTTGATGCATGCGCTTCCATATAAAATCGAAGATATATTATTTTATATCTGCTCTATATCTGATAACTCTTTTTATTAAAATGGTCTAGTTTGAGACTAGTCCGTTAAGGAGCACTTCAATTATTCTATCAACAACAAAATATATGTGATATATGTATATTAATACACCCAATTCTTTTTTTACACGGTAGATACGTTCCTCAGAAATCCGTGTAAAAAAAATTCACTTATTAAGGTCAAAAATTTCAAATCACGAACAATTGATAAAAAATTGCGAGCTAATAAACTTTAAACACTTTAATTAAGCAATATTTTATGTAAATATCATGCGAACAAAAGGTGTAGGAAGAGTTGTCGAATAAGGGGATTTTCCTGTTACTACTATGTATGTTCATTTCAGCAATGGTGCCAAGTGTCAAACAAGACAGTGATTTTGAGACCGTAATCCGTGTAAAAAGAAACCGTGTAAAAAAGGAGTTGGGTGTATTAGGTCTTTTCTTTTGTAAGTAAAGAACAACCGCCTAACTAATAACTAGCTCAAATTGCATGGTTGCCAAGGTTAAAAATTCGTCTATTGTGAACGACTTTTGGAAGTATATATGAAATTTCCAGTTAACTGTAACAAATACATTACTTTTTCTATTTTCTATATTTACTGTTAATAGGCATGAAGATTCATATTTTATTCACAACCATGTAAAAAAAATATTCTGTTATTCTATTATAATCTACATTACCTGTATTATATCTATTATAAATATTATTCATTATCGAAATATTAACTCTAGATTTCATAACATCTTTTGCATATATAAGCCTATTAAAACCTCCATTTTGTCTAGCGTTGCCATCGTAGTAGTGCTTATATTATTTTTTCTTTTGCGACATGCTTACCAAAGAAAACACCTATTTTTGTTAAAAAATATTTCATTTACTTAAGTAAAAATTTCTATTGTTAACTGCATTTTTCTTACTATTGTAAATAATCAAACTACGTAACCAAAGAAAATCTACTCTGTACGTAACGTAAACGTACATAAATGTGAGAATCTGACATTTATTCCAATTTTTTTGTTTGATGCTGAAACATAAATATAACTTAAAATGTCGGAGTCTGATGTTGTAAAAATGAAAGTAAGTTATCAATTAAATTATAAATTAATTATGTAGATATGTTATTATGTATATGTGTATTTGCAGGTGGCCGATCTTAAGCGTGAGCTTAAATTACGCGGTTTGCCAATTACTGGGAATAAAAATGAATTACAAGATCGGTTGTCTAATGCGTTATTAGATGGTGAGATATCCCTCGAAGATGCGAGTGGGGAGCTTGATGAAGCTATACTTACAGATGAAGATGAAGGAATCCTAGGGCCTGATGAAAATGAATTACTCAAAAGCCCTACGTCACTGGAGCCGACAGTTGATGCAAACGATGAAGTAGCAGAAGCTGACACAAAACCAACTAAAGTTGTTTTGAAAAGGCCTCACGCAATTAACTCCAACAATGTAACATCATCCAGCGAAGACAATATAACAAATATAAATGAAAATGCTGATACATCGTCACCAGTTAAAATGATGAAAAAAGGTTTACATACTCCTATCACAATGTCGGACACTGTAACAACCACTGAAGACAAGAAAGTTGAGTGTGAAAAACCTAATGCAATATCTAAACTAAATGAGATGACAGCAGCAGAACGTCTCGCAAATCGAGCTAAAAAATTTGGCATTGCTAGCGGGGCGAGCCAACCTCAAAGTGATGAAAAAGAGCAGAAGCAATTAGATATACTAAAAAAACGTGCAGAACGTTTTGGCTGTGTAACGTCATCAAAAATGGTAGAAATTAGCGATAAAGAAAAATTACTTAAGCGTCAAGAACGATTTGGTACATCAAATAAAAATACAATAAAAAGTATTGGCCCAGTGCCGGTATTGAATTCTACAAATGGTTCCGATGAATACGCTGAAAAAGCACGTTTACGTTTAGAGCGATTTAAAAATACAACGGAGGCAGTTGCGGTTAAGAAAGATGAGCCAGTTACAACTTCTGGTGAAGTTAAAGAGGAATAGAGTTCAACAAATTACATATACATGAACATTTTCACATGGAAACTAATTTGCTTTTTGGTTACGGGTGTTTCTTTATCACTTTAGTATTTTTTATATTTATTCATATAAATATCTGCTTCTAATTCCATAAATATTCCATCATTTCATTTATTAGAGCCAATCACATTTAGTAACCTAAGCATTTGTTTCTATAAAAGTAAATTTATTAATTAATGATGTAAAAATTTCATTACTAACGAATAAAAAATTAATAACAAATGAAAACAATCAGCCTATGCGAATTTGTTTATTTTTGAATTTATATACGAATAATAAGCTAGTTGAATTTTCCAAAAATAACTTCATTAAAAGAAACTTATAAAAAAAAACTCCCAACGCGAAGAATAATTTATCTATTTTTCAATAGGTAAATGAGTACGTATATCCAAAATATTTAAAAAAAAAAAAACTAAACTACAAACCAGTAGTTTGTTTCTAAACCTTTTGGGTAATTAGTAATCTATAATCACGATTTATAAAATTTATAGTATAATTATGAAGGCAGAGTAATAAAAGTGAATAAAAAAGTATCCAACAATTTAGAATACGGATTGCATATTTTTTATTTTAATAGTGAATTTACAAAAAATCACTCAACTAAATATTATTATTTTGTAAGAGATTTATAGATATATTTTTAAAATGCAAAATATCTACACATAATTAATTAAACTTATTTAAATAAAATAAAGGAGCTGTTAAAACTGAACAAGGAAATAAGTTTAAAAAATGTATATTCCTTTTTACTCGGCTTTAATTTCTTTAATAGGTTAATATATTCTTTAAATATTAAATTGAATTCAATTCGTTTTTTTTGGGTTTTGGTTCAGTACAGATTATTTTTTATGCTTTTATATAACAAATAAGTTTCTTTGTATTACAATAATTTTATACATTTTTTAAAATGAAAAGTTTTTTAACCATCAGATATTTTAATACCTGCTTAATACTTATTAAAAAGATAGTTCTCGTTACTTTCATCTAAATTATTTTCAAGTGCTCATCCCAACTCTGCACCAAAATCTAAACTGTGCAAGTATTTCCTTCTTCAATTTTTGTAGGAGATTGGAACATCTCCAAGGGCCCTGCTCTTTCTCTTACAGTAATATCTTGATAGAGGTTTTTAGAACAGAAGTGCACCACAACAACAAAAATTCATTTCCTATTATATTTGTCTTTTTGGCGAACCACACTGCTATTTCAAGTATTGCCAAATCATCATCAGTGGTATTGGAAATAATTCTTGTATTTAATTATTCATAAATAATTATTTGAGACTGCAAGTACCAGCAATCGAACTCAGTAACAGTATCTTTTGACTATACATTTAAGGGAACTATTAATTATTGAATTGGTCTTGTCTTATCTTATCTTATTACTTCATTTCCCTTCTACGGCAATATACTTACCTATTTTATTAACTTTCTCTCTAATAATTTATTCTGCATGATTTCTTTATTTTTTGTTATAAGTTTGCAATTAACATAAATAAAATATTAGTTATTCTATACATATTTTATGCGGCGAAATATTGCCAAGAGTGATCTTGGTTCTCTTGCTACATATTGCATTCAACTGCTGCTATTTTATTTTGTTTTTGTCAATGGTTCAATATTATAAAAATGTTTTTCTTAAAAATTAATATTCTTATATTGAGAAGGAATTAAATACGAATATTTTATTTAAAATCGTTTAATAGTAATAAGCGACTTGTATAGTACGTCCATCAATGCGAGAACCATTCATAATATCTACAAAATAGAATAAAGGAAAACATATTAATACATCCAACTATTTCTTAATTTCATAAAATAAATAATTACTTATGGCCGATTCAGCATCGCGCTCATGGAAGAAGCGTACCACGCCCAAATCGTTGCCACGAATTTCGGCAAATTTAACCTCTCCAATATCACGGAATTTATCGCGTAATGTCTGCCATGTGCAACTTAATGGTATCTAAAAAATATTAATAGAAAGTTATTTCATAAATTAATTTATTATTTAAGTTATATATCTGAAACTCTATTACATACATTTTTAACGAGAATTGTATCAGATTTCCGGGGATTATTTGGATTGATATTGCTAGCGTTGCCACCACCGCCAAACATATCAATATCGCCAGTATCCATACTGCCGCCACCACCTACATTACTTCTGTTACCGCCTCCTCCACCACTGTTATATGCATTAACATTTCCACCTCCACCGGTGTTACCGGCTCCTGAATTAAAACCCGACGGTGTACCGTAACCGGAGCTATAGTTATTACCACCTCCAGTGCTGTAGTTATTCGACATGACAGCATTTGCAGAAGACATCGAATCGTCGTTACCAGGAACAGATTGACCCAAATTTAAGCCAAGATTGCTTAACGACGATGAGAGTAATGGATTTGATAGTGCACCTACAACATTTGTAAGTGCGGCCAAATTAAGACCACCGCCACTATTACCCAAGATATTGCCTTGTTTGTTTCCACCTTGTACTGGAGCAACTGGTGATGGTTGCACGCCTGAATTATTATACATGCCGCTGTTGTTGCCGCCTCCAACATTACCACCGCCGCCGCCACCGCCCATATTAGCAAGCATATTAGACTGTACTTGGGTTTGAAGATTCTGCTGTGGTGTTGGATTGTTTTGTTGTTGATTTATAATACTGGGCAAGTTACGTGCTACATCCCGTAAAGGTTCACCGTTAGGACCAAGTCCAATACCTACGCCACCTAAGCCCTCTGGCAATTTAATACCTTCGCCCTTGTCAGGTATGCGATCCAAACGTACTGTCATGCGACGTTCATACAACATTTGACGATCAAGCATAGATATAGCCTGTACAGCTTCTACAGGGTGATCATATTCAATTACAGCAAATCCACGGCTGTTGCCTTCTTTGTCTACGGACAAATCAACACTCTGTACCTTACCAGCCAATTTAAATACTTGTTTAAGTTTCTTGCCATCCACTTTATAATCCAGCTGTAAATATTGTATTCAAAAATAAGTTAGTTCCACTACATTTATTGTGCAATTTAGAAGATTTCAAGTCTTTTTTCTCGTTGGTAAGGTTGGAATTTTAAACGAAGGCAAAGTGAATAATTGAAAATATATCGTGGAATTTTTTGGAGACTTTGTGGAAACGAATTATATCAGCCACCGATATCTAAATATATATATATATTATATATATAGATATATATATATAGTGTACACAAATTTAAAAGTCAAATGAGCCCCAAACCAACGACAGAAATAAACGTGTTTCTAAAGCAGTAAAAGAACTTTATATAAGTCAAAAGTTAACGTAATATTGTTGAAAGAAATTCTAATCAAAATTACATTTGGTATAATATTTATAAGAAATTAACGATATGACTTTGAATTTAAAGACGAATTATATACACAATTATTTTTGAGTTCCAACCCTTTACGAGTTGAGCAAATCAATTACAAATTACAAATAGAATATTCCAAATATTTGTTAAACAAATAAAAACAGCTACATTTTTTCAATTGAAGCCCATTTCAAACAAGTGCACAATAACAATATTGTTTATAACAGCGAAGGTAGCAAATAATGTCAATACACCCAAGTAGTTGTTATGAGTTGGATGGATAATCGTTTCCAGAGGAAAATAAATAACTTATTTTTTGTTTTACCTTAAAGATTTTTGGTATTGTAAATTCTTCGTCTAGAACACAGCAAATACAAATTATTTAACAAAAAAATTATACTCACATTAGCAACAAAAACTTTATTATGCAAAGGTCCATTTATGCCAAGACTCTCCAAAAACGACGCAGAAAGACCATACAAATTGTAACTCGATGAATTATTAAAATCATTAGACATCATGTTAAAATTATTACGACCAGATCTAAAAGAAGAATTATCCAAACATAAGCAAACCGAAGTTCCAAAGCAAACTTGTATTTTTTTAATTGAATTATATGTAAACTTTCTATTATGATTCATGTTAGTTCTCCAGAAGGATAATTAACACCAAATGGATGTATCTTGAAGTTCCTTAGATATATGATGGAGTTGAAGGATACGAGCGACTTTTACAATTGCACATGCTATTGAGAAGACGACAGTTTCCCCCGCAAGATAAACATAAAAAATCTGCTTCACGATGGTTTTGTTAAATGATATTTCAGCTACGTTGAAAATGTTTCATGTATATTATATAGCTCAAAATATATGTTATAAAAAATTTAAATATGCGGAGTACATTTTTATATACTCGACTTTGCGATAAACGCTTATTTTTAATGAATTTCATGTGGGAACACAAAACAGTAAACAGCTAAAAAATTTCATATGTAATTAGACTCTAAAAATGGCACAATAAATTTCAGGTCGCGATGCAACTAGACCTATGATAATAATACAACCTGATATTTGGGAAAACCCTGGATTTATGGAAACTCTGTATACATTTCTGTAAGATTTTAGGTATGGCAAAATGAAGAAATACATTCTACCCAAACAGCAATGTTAATTGCAGCATATCATTTCTATAAAACAAATGCAATTCTCTAAAATTAATAACATTTTCATTGGTACTTATGCATTAACGTGGTAATGAAGACAATAACCAGTCTATGAAATGCGAATATTAGATCTAAGTTCAAAGATTAAACAAAAAAATAAACAACAAAACTTTTTGACACAGTTACACTGCCTCTTCGGGTAAAAAAATATAAGGACAATTAAGTATTATGGTAAAGTTATACTTTCTAGATTGAAAACAAGATACTTCTGCAACTTCTGTGCAGTGTATGATAATTTTCTATGCATTCTCAAAAATATTACCACGCAACTTTTTACAAATAGTTCTCAATGAACCCAAATGGTTCTATCGATTCAAGTGGATCCCAATTTAGATTGATTGCCGACCTAATCTAACTATATTAAATATCTTATATCAGCTAAATTGTTTAATAAATATTAAAAGCTAACTACATTTTCTTTGTTGAGTTTTGGTAATATTATTTCAGCTGAACATATATTACATCCTCATTGCAAGCTATAATCGAAAATAGAAGCTGCCTACCAAATATCTTTCAAATTATAACAATAGCTATCATTCATTTATTTAACATCTTTGCGTTATATATATCTAAAGCTGAAATGGTTATACTTAAGTTTACAGTAATTGATTTTTACATAAAAATAGAAAAGGTAATTTACAAATACTTACAATCTGTCGTCATCGCGACGTGTAAAACTACGATCTCTATCACCTCCAGAATTGCCGCCGCCACCACCTTCACGTACTATACGGCCATATTGATCGCGTTGTTCTCCATGATCCTCCTTGACTACCAGTTCTCGACCGTTTATTTCATAACGATTCATCTTTTCTAAAGCCTTTTCCACATTATCGGGATCTTTAAATTCAACAATTCCGCAACCTCTCGCTTTCCCATTTTCATCATGGAATAATTCAACATATTCAACAGAACCCACAATGCGTCTAAAAAGATCCTTTAAATCTTGCCAACGGTAATCATAAGGGATATTGGATATATAAACACGACAATTCCTTCGTTCACGGCTGCGGTCACGACCACCGCCGCCATTTCCATTATCAGCGTCTGAAAAACGAGACCCACGTGTGGCGCGCCCACGTCTATCACGCTCCTTTTCACGATTTTCGTTAGAATTTCCGTCTTGATTTTGATCAGTTTTCATAATTGCTTTAAAATTAAAAATCAAAACAAATTAAGTTTATAGTTAAGATAACAAAAAAAAAAACAATTGTATAAGAGGCGTGTGTATCTACGGTTTGTGCAAAAAAAAAAGATGGCGCTCAATCGCCATAACACAAGCATTTTAATAATTTATGTTTAAACCCGTTATTTATAGTAGAATCAGAAAAAAAAATACTTACCAATTATTTTTTCGCTAACACAATATTAATATTTTTCCACAATATACGAATTGAATGCTTTAGTTATTTTAACAAAATTCGCAACAAAAAGCCGACAAACCGCAGATCCTCGTAAGCAGGCAAATCAATAATGCGCAATTCGCTGCAAGATTTTCATTACATGACGCCGATTCATTTTTTGCAGCATTTGTCACAGGGTTGTATTTTTGAAAAAATTACATTAGTTGCTTGCAATCAGAGACCATCGCTTGTAATTAACGAGAGCAACTATACTCGAATATATTCCAATGTTCATGTATCGAAAATATTGTTGACGACTTTAGTCTATAGACAAAAGAGTTATAGCCTATTCATAAACCATAAGTAATAGCCCATTCACGCTGTGTCATTTAAGCAATCACTCGTATGTATGCTCTATTTTTTTCTCAGAGTAGAAATAAATACTCGCAACTTACAAAAGAAAACATGTGAAACAACAACAATGCTCCTAAAATCCTCAGAATTGTGTTTTACCCATAAAAATATTTAAGTCTTAGGTTGTAGTGCAGCCAAATTCAAAACTCAGTCTATTGTGAATGTTCACTGGAAATACGTTGAAAAATTCCAGCTATCCGTTAAAGTAATCAAATAATATAAATTAATTAATTAAATTATATGTACAACATAAAATGCTTACCATTGCCCCTCTAATAATCATTTTCTTTTCTTTTATTAAATTAATTTAATTTTAGTTTTTATATATCAAATTGAACACAAAACAACAAAAAATATATATCAAAAAAAGCATTTAACATATTTTAAAAGTGATGCCAATTTTCACATTCAGAATTAAGCCACTCGTATTTCAAGAGTGTCTATTGTGAAAGATTATTCGAAGAAAATGGAAAGTTCCAGTCAGAAGGAAGAGGAGTTAGTTTGTTATTTTTAACTGTTGCTGGTGCTAATCAGTAAATTTAAATATTTTAAAATATTAGTTTTTTTTAATAAAATTTGTGAAGATAACTGACAGGTTAGTAATTGTGAAGAAGTCATTCGTTATTTGTTTACTAAGGAATTTATAATTTCTGTGTTATGTTCTTAAAAAAATACAAAACACAATCGTTACAATAAAAGCAAAAAGTTATAGAACAATGGCAAGTAAATAAAACAGTGTTAAATACTGCTCTTTTACCATTAACTAATGATGTTAGGAGTTTGAAAATTTAATAAACGAATTTATTAACTAACTATTATTGCCTTCCGAAGATGCACCGCTATTTTTCTCCGTTATCATGGATAATGTGTAAGATATAAACTTTTTTACTTGTCATATGTTCATGGATTTAGACAGTGATGCCAAGTTATTCTTAAGCAACCAGAAGTTGTTCTATTGGGACATTCTTGTCAAAAGAATACACCTTACATGATATAAAAGTTTTTATACATATAGGTATAGGCCCTTTCGGTGGTTCGCTACGAGATACATTGGCATCTCTGTTGCAATCTGTCAAGTGTTATGTTTTGACGAATAGCAAAAATCGTATAATGCAAGCAAATTACATTAGGCGTATTCGATGGCTCGCAAGTACGGCAAAAAACAGCAAGTTGTTGGCCTATGCAGGCCTATACTGGCCGCAATGTATGCAAAACAACAACACTATTTTCTCTACCTCGGCCAGCATAGTTATGCTGGCCAACCACATCGGCCAGTAAAAAAAAAATGTTACCAACGCAATAAGCGAACTATTATGAACCTTCATTGAAAATTCCAACGAATAGTGCAATCAAATGTCAAAAATTGAGGAAATAAAAATTCAAACAGAATTCAAAAACTTGAAAAATCATGAAAAGTAACGAAGAAATAATAAGAATGGCGAAATCGTAAGTATTAAGCACATTGAATTTTTTATTATGTTAGTTATTACCAAGTAACATTTATTTTATTTCATTTAATTTGTAGTTTACATACGTAAAATTAATAAAACAAACATAATTTTTGAAGTTTTTCTAAAAAATTTTTTTATAGAATATACGCAAACTATGGACCACAGAGGAAACGAAGTGTTTTCTAGAGTGCTACTTGACACGAACATTTATAACATTTAAAAAATCCATGAAATAACTTGCATTCCTCGGCCGCTGCAAAACGTTGCTTTCTTCTCCCTACACCGACAGTACCTACAAAAATTTACTTATCTTAGTGTTTTATTTTTAAATTTCCAATATTCTTACCATTCCTTTTAATTCCGTGTTCATTTTAATTTTATAATATTTTTATAAAAATATATTTGATTTATATGTTGACAGATTGCAACAGTGATGCCAATGCCTCGCGTGGCCAACATAGGCCAACATGCATTTTTTGCCGTACTTACGAGCCACCGAAAAGGCCTATTGTAGAAGCTATAATATGTCGGGAGTGTAGAACAAAATTATACGGCGACGTTTTGAATGGTATTTTCTCACATATTGAACCAAATATTTTACAAGATGTACGTAAAGTATTGCATGATCTTAAAGAGTATCATTTTCTTTATATCTATACTGGCCGAGGTAGAAAAAGTAGTGTTGTTGTTTTGCGTATATTTCGGCCAGTATTGGCCAGAAACTTGCTGTTTTTTGCCATACTTGCGAGCCACCGAAAAGGCCTATTGTTACACATTTAAATACTAAATAAAAAAATTTCAGGGACCCCTAAAAATGTTGGCCAAAACCACAACCGAATTAAAAAGATAAAATCGTTTTGAATTCTAACACAAAAAAGACCAGAGTAGCCTACACTAACACCAATTAAATTACGTGAATTAATAAGTTAAATATTATTAACGATGTATTGTTTTATAATTTAAATGGAATTGATATTATTTCAAATGATTTGTAACAATATGTTGTTTACAATATTCCCATAAAAATAACGCCCCTGTGACATGTACATTCAGAGAGCGCACTATACCGAATTGTGGTATTTCCACTGCGTAATCTAAAAATCCTAATAAATTGCCGGGAATACCCTCCTTTTCATGCCTAAAAAAAAAAAACAATTAAGTAGATTATTAATGAATAATGGTTTTTAAAAAGGTATTTACCCTAATAGCAGTACACATCTTTTAGGAAATTTAAAATTCACGAAGCTAACACTGTTCACAGTTTGTTCCGCACCAACTATATGATATCCTTCACTTTGCTTTTGAATCAAAAAATCTGGTAAATCATTTGGCTTCACTTCCATGATGTTTAAGTTTTTCTCTGCCGTCATACTAAAAACAATTAATAATACTAATTCACTAAAGTTATTGATCAAAAATCTGAAAAAAAAGTTCTTTAATAGAAGAGGAAATAGTTTTCATGTTAGATAAGGCCATGAAGAATTCTAAATTGATTCTTGTTAAATATTGTAGTTCCATTGTTGTGTTCATTGTTATAAATCTTGAATTATTGCTGCTTACAGTCTGATTTAATATTCCAGTATAACATTTTCATACTCTTCTGTTAATTTATTAATTTTTAAATAATTTATTCTTACCTTAGATGTTTAAAATCATTTTGTTCAATATGTTTTTTACTATCGAGAATTAGATTCTTAATTCCCAGAACCTCACAAGTTCGTGCAATTCCACCCAAATTTGGTAATTTATCTATAAGAGATGCTACTACATACATCTATAAATAGTGTATAATATTAAAACTAAAAATCTCAATTCAATATTAATAAAATATTATTATTTACCTCAACTTCAACACACTCCTGATACGATATAATTGAAGTTGGAGTTAATATATCATCAATAGGATTCATTTTTCTCTGCATATTATTTAAATCGATTGAAGATATTTTTTCCATAATGTCACATGGTTTTGTAGGTGTATACTTTTTTAAATACGATATCCGCAATTGCAGCAGATCGTTTCGGTTTATTTCATTGATACAGTACTCATCATATGATGCATTTGTAATATACATTATAGATGAAGCAGCATAATACCAGTTCATTTGGGAAGGCTTTACTAGAATATGAAGCTTTAAACGCACATCTTGTAATAACTCGTCTATTTGTTTACCGAGCGTTAACTTTATAGCAGATAAGATAGCAATCTGTGATGGTGAAATATTTCTTAACGTATATAAGTTAGAATATATTTTAAATTTCTTGAAGACTCTTACTTTATTTCCACTAACAAGTTATGGATTGCCAATTGTGAGTAGAGACGAATTTGAAAATTTGCTCCCATCGTTAAAGGAAGTAGCTCCTTGATAATTTGTTCAATATCAGAAATTTTGTGCAGTAAGCAGTAAGTATGTGTAACACATATTACAGACACTTGTTGACTTGGTGTATATGTTCCGATCTACCAAATATAAGAAATAGATTATTTATATTCTGACTCGTCTTTTAACTGGTACAATCGAAATAGGTTTGTTTAGGTCGTACTAATTCAATGAATAAGAACTAGAGAACTTAAATTTTATTGCTTGTACTTGTTAACGTCTATGTTTGGAAACATAGAGCTAATGAACTATATAATTATCAAATTTAACTACAATTCCAACTTCTAATCAAACTTTTACACATACCTTTTCTAATTGACTTTTTATTACTTGAATGTTGGGTGTAAAGTATGCTGTTAGAAGTTCATACATATAAGTAACGTTCAATTGGTTATTCTGTTTAAGTAAAATCTGCCAGAGATCATCGTAATTAAGTTTGAGATTGGGATTTTCCATATTGCAAACCAAAGTAGTTGCTATCCTTAACTTTAAGCGATGTTCCATTGAATGCTCGAAATATCGAGGTTTCTTACAAGTAATATTATTATTTTGTTTTAACAAAGTACTGAATATATCTGTAAAAGAACGCTCATTGATTAGTTGTATATATCGTTTACGAATTTGGGCAGAACGAGTTGGTATATTATTGATATGGATGTAAAATACATCTTCAATACTGAAAAAAAACAAAACAGAAAGATCAAATTATAGAATAATATAGTTCAAACTTATATATATGATATATATAGATATCTAGTGTATGATATCTCAGCTTACCGTGCATCTCCAGTTTTTGAATCACCATATAGGATACCCTTAATAATTGTTGCCTCACTCAGGTTATTTGTGTAATTTAGTATACACTGTAGAAGTTGAATATTTTCAAAATCGAAATTTAAAATAATCTCTGCATAATGTTCCAATTTCTCTGGAAACAGAGCCTTAATATATGTCAATATGTAAACAACCGCCCTAAAAAAATAAGAAACGATTAAAATTTTCAGCTAGTAATAACTAAGCTTAAACAAGAAAATATAATTGCGAACCAATAAAACAATTGCCAACTATTTTGTATTAGTGTGGACTACATCAAATTATATCATAATAACTTGAACATATTTAATTTTAGCTGTCAATTGTTGTTGCTTTCAATGCAAAATGAACATTTTTGACAGCTTAAATTAGAAACAAAAGTTTTGTTTTGTTACAAAACTCTCAGGTGAATCCAGTATTAGTTAATTTAACATCTAATGGCGTATCCTCTTCCCATTTTTAATGTCAACTCACGGAACTCGTAAGATTCAAAATACTCTACCATTGCACAATTAAACATAAACAGGGAATGATTAAGTTAATTACGAAATACTATAGAAATTATCATAACGCGATTCTTAATAGACCACTCTTAGAACTAAAGAAATGAGCGACTCAACTAATTTTTCTCGCATTTTGCTGTTTTGCTTAAATAATACTACTATTTTTTCTAATCTCACTTATCACTTTGGTTAATGGGAGCGATGAAGACGAAATTGTTAGTAATAAATTAAGTGCATAGTACTAACTTCTGCTCTAACTTCTGATTGTATTGGTCTTGTTGCCTTATACAACTATTGTTTCCTTGGGAAATACTAGGTAGAGAATTGTTGTGAACCGGATTACTGTAGACATAATTTATATTCTTTTGCATTTTACTTGCACAATATGGTTCACAGTAAGAATAAAAAGTATTTTTAATTTAAGGAACATCAATAATAATATTAAAGAGGTACAATTATAATAGTTATAAATAATAGAGTATAAATTATATTTTTTTTAATAAAAATTTTAAATATACTTACTCGATTAGTCTTTTTTCCGACTTCACTAAATCTTTGATTCGAATAACAAACTCATCAAGTATTCTCTCCTGTATTCTTTCATTGTGTTTGGATAACAAACGCAATAGTTGTAGAAGTGTTCTCTGTGATCCTGATTCTAATAAATCCTCAGAATTCATATCCAAGTTGTACATATCTGAAAACTTTTTTACTTTACAATCCAGAAAAAATTCTACAGATTTTGTACGTATAAATTGTTTTTCATCATTGCTCCACATAAGTTTATTTTGAAAATATGCAATAGTTTCGGCTAGATTTAATTTTTCCAACATGTTTATATCTAAATCTAGATGTCGTTTCCAAAATTTATAAATATAATCAATTTTTTCATGATTTTTAAATAAATGATAACAATCGAATACAATCATAAATCGTAACCAACTCTGATGCTCCTTTGGTTTATCACAGAAATATCTGCACACGTCTTCCATTGCTTCAAAGGAATTTGGCATGGCAAAAGTGTAAATTTCATAAAATCTTTGTGTAAATATTAATGTTTCATTTTTTATTATATTCTGCATATTGCATTGTAGTTTATCGCTAAATAAATTGTGGAAATTAAAGCCGTCAGATATATTATATAGTGTTTCTGTGATTCTAAGAAATTCGCATATGTTCATGGATCTCAAATCTTCAATAAACAATTCATTATATTTTTTTATTATTACTAGACGTAGTGATGGGTTTTGTAAGCAACGTATCTTTCCAGCAATATGTAAAAGTACCTCAAAAGAGACTTGCCAGCGAGTTTTCATATGTATCAACCCATCTAACCAGTAGATCATTGGTAGACATTTCCAGTTAATTTGAGCAAATGTATTTAAAAACACTTCACATTCGCAACTTAAAAACTCATATGGGTCTGGCAAAAAATAACCTTCCTTATTATATAAATTTGTTTTATTGGAAGCCTCAAGAAAATGCAGTAGCACTTCTGCACTCAACTCTATGCATTTATATTGTTTCATTATATACTCTAACATCCATCTAATAACTAAAGTATTTGGTTGGTCTAATGTTTGTATGTAGAGTATGTTAAGCCATTCTGGCCACGAAACATCACTGAATTTAACATTCTGCAATATTTCCAGTGAAGGCAATATAAGATGCGATTGATTTTGTTCCAAATTCTCAAATAGAGTTATATATGTAATCCAAATTTGGTACTCCTTCGAATCCATAAACTTGTCCGCATTGTAAAACTTTAAGTTAATTACTTTTTTCATAATATATAAAGATGATTTCCGTTCTTCACGCGTTTTAGATTTAAGTAATTGTTGTAGAACGTCAGTGAACTCTTGGCTGCTATAAAAATCCTCTCTTTTCAGAAACTCATCGCATAAATGAACAAGTATCTGAGCAACGTGAGATAAGTTCTGCTGCTGTGCAGGAATAGAGAATATGTTAAGCCAGATCTTATCCAAAATATCAGTTGAATGATATATTTTCATATATAATTGCACACACGTCAGTATATTTGCTTTGATTGTGGTATTTTTTATAGTGAAAAGTGAATCGATTAGTTTATCCATAGTATCATCTTTAATGCATATCATTTTAGAATTTGTGTTTTCAGCTTCTATCGTTTTTAATATCTGATAAATAATTTGTAATAAAGATTTAATATACATTTCATTGCTTTTATATTTATTTAACAGATTTAATAAAAAACTATTTAAATCTATTGTATCAGTTTTGTATATTTCTGTTTGAAGAGCTAGATGCAAGTGGGCAAGCATTTTCTTAAGTTTGAGTTGGTCTACACATAATGCTTCAAGATTTTTTTCAAGGTATTCAAGTACTACATTCAAATTATAACTTTTAGTTTCATTTAGTAAGAGCGCTTCAAGTGGTTCTGCAAGTAACTGCTTTTGATTGTCCATTTTCTCGAACTCATCCATAATGTCTATCTAGAAGAATAGATTTAATCAGTACGATTCTCATGCAACAAGTGAGTTTTTACTACTAAAAATAAACATTGCATTTTCTCAAAAATAGTTACTAAATTAGGTCTGTGCATGGACTCAGTCAGCCAAACAGATTTTACTAGATTAATAGCACTTCAATATGAGAGGATAAAACTATTATAGCACTCCAATCAAGAGTATAATAATAGTATACAAATTAAGCATATGTATTTTTATTAATCAAATGCAAGCATTTAAATAAAGACTTTATTCTAAGGTAAGGAAAAATAAGTGCATTAAAACAATATATGCCGAATAGTTTATCAATGCAGCTGTGTTAACTTAACTAAAGCTATTGCAATTAAAGCTTTTGCCTTTAACTTGACAATCACACAAACCTAAAATAAATTTTAATGAAATTATTAAGCAAATTTTTTAATAAATATTTCTAAAATAGAATTCCGGCTAATAAATTTTATTAAGAACAAAAGCACATTTTATTATAAACACCGTTCATATTATATACGAATATAAATAATAAGGACGAATTTAAATATCAAAACAAAAAGCCAATAATGCTAATAACTGAAACAAAGTGTGCTAGATATAACAGATAATTTCACTTAAAGTACACTCATGCTAAATTGTCTATAGTAATAATCGTTTTAAATAAGATGTGAATTTGATTGCTCAACTCGACCAAAATTCGATAATTGATATTAAATAAATGTATACTAATATACAATTGTACTCACAAATTTAAACTATTCATGCGGTAAAAGACAAGGTATAAGTAAATAAATAATATAAAAGTTGCAAACTTAATCAAATAATCGATTACTTTAAACAAGATTGTTTATATTTCTAACAGCAAAAGGAAACGTTGGAGTATATATCACCACAAATCAGTGGAACTCGTAACTAGTATTTTCCGCCAAAGTGTGACAATTTGGTTCAAACTGCTATATCTAATGATTTATGTTATTAAAGTAGTAACACAGCTGTTGGATGACATTTAGCGAGTTCTTTATTTTTCATTAACATTGTTTTATTAACAAATTTATAAAATAAAACGATGTCAAATATTTTCAAATGTTTAAATATAGCCAAAAATATAACTACTTTATGTCAGTCTGTCGCGATTAAAGCAGCGCAATCAAATACACAGTTGTTAAGGTAAGCCATATATAATATTTTTTAATTTTATATAACCTAAAACTCCTGCGTATTATTTCAGTGCCGCAAGGCATGTATTACCAAGTGTAGTAACAGGCACGAATTCAGTGCGCTCACTTCATTCAACAAATGTACGTTATGACTTGATGGAATTTTTCGATGATCCCAAAAACTGGCCTGAGAATGAGGTTAAAGTTGGACGTGCTTGGAAATTAGATGAATTACGTATTAAGTCCAACAAGGAATTACATCAACTTTGGTATATTTTGTTGAAGGAACGTAACATGTTACTAACAATGGAACATGAATGCAATGACAAAATGGAGTTATTTCCAAGTCCAGAGCGTGTAGATAAGGTTAATTGTTTAAATAAATATATAATGTATATTTAATAACATTATATTTTGCAGGTGAAAATTTCAATGAATAATTTGGAAACGGTTGTTCGAGAGCGTAATACAGCCTATCATTTATTGGAAACTGGTGAGACAGGCGAAAGGCCAAAGAGATTGGTATCAAATATTATAGGAATGCGTTCAATGTACAAGTAAGTGATAGAATTTATTATGAATTTGAATATAACAAAATATGAATTTAAACTAACATAACATTTTTACTCAGGTCTAGCGAACATGCTATTCCTTCGCATATGAACAAGAAATGGTTCAAAACGAGGTCATTTAGCTATGGCGGTCATGCAGTACGTAAATTCTTATTGTTGTTCCGTGAGAAATTGTACAATGAGAAACGCAAAGCCAGAGTGTAAGTTTAAAACAAAAACAAACTATAGAAGTTGTTTTAAATCTTTTATATATTTCTATTTTAGACGTTCTCGCAATAATGTTATGATGTTATTACGTCGTTACCCGGATCTGGACCTAAATATGTTGCGGAATAAATATCCTGATGCTGATATTGATAAACTAATTAGAGATGATAAAATACGTGGACATTTTGTTCCGAAGTTTTAAAAAATAAACCAACGTAAAAATTAAAATTTCAAAACTTTTGTATTAAAAAAAATAATTATTTAGTATCAACTGTCGTCGTCATCAAATTTTATCTTTTTACCCTCAAACGCCGTTATAGTTGGCTTTTGTTTTTGTTTCGCTGCCCAAGAAGGATGCAAATTGTTTTCAACTTTATTTGATGTTTTCCCTTTACCAGCACCGTTGCTATTTTTGTTTTTGTTGAAATTATTTTGTGGCACAGTTTGTTCCATATTATCATCATCATTAAATGTTATTTTTTTGCCTTGAAAATTTGTTATAATCGGTTTTTGCTTTTGTTTCGCTGCCCATGACGGATGTAAATTTTCTGATTTATTCATCTGATTATCTTTATTTTTCCATTTAGAATTTAATTCGCTGTTTTGTTTATGGAAATTACGGTTTTCAGATTGATAGTTATTTCTGTCATGTATCTTTCTTTTGTTGCCAACATTTGATTTATTATTTACTACCTCTTCGCTAACATTTTGCGTTTTATTGGTAACTATAGCCGTTGACATATAAGGTTTGCCAGTTTCGGTTATAAAGAATGGGTCTTCCACAAAAATGTTTTCATTTACGTTGACATTTTTTGATGGTGAAATATTTATATCTGTATTTTCTCGAGCGCCATTTGTAATAGGATCATCTTTAATTTTCGAATCTTCATTAACATATTCATTAGCCATTGAAATTTCTTCATTATTGCCTATGTCATTATCCTGCCTACTTTCAATATTCACGGTACTGTTTATTTTTACCTTGCTGGTAAGATTGGCTTCAGACTTAATTTGATTTATTTGCACTGCTTCAACTTTGTTCTCTTTTTTTATTTGTTTAGTATTATTTTCTTTTTTATTTTGAAGTACATGCGTAGCTTTAGATTTCTCTGACTTTAATTTGTTACTTGGAATTTCAGTAATAGATTCTTCTAAATCCTCACTATCTTCACCTTCTAGTTCTTCTTCTATCCAATTTCCAGAACTAGATGTCAAATTTAATTCTTTATCTTGGCTATCGTTGATTTTATCAGCATTATTTTCTTGTAACCATTCTTTTCTTTTGCGTTCAACATTCCTTTGGTCTTTTATCTCTTTACGCTTTAAACGTCTATATTCAACTTTTTCCATTTTAGTCTGACGCTTACTATTTTCCATTAACTTCTCTTTCCACGCATTATCTTTACTATTAATATTTAATTCTTCATGAATTTTTTTAACTAAATCAGCTATCAACTTATTAGCTGCAAGCATGGCAATCACAATTTCCTCTGGTGCAGCTCTATCGTTTGTGATGACAGCTGTAGGATTTTTTTCTAATAATAGCACACTCTTGATTATTTCAAAACGTTTAAGTTTCTAAAAAATAATTAAAATAATATTTTTATAAGTATTTAATATGTGTATATAAAAATGTTATAAATCTACCTTAAGGTGCTCCAAGTAGGCTACATTTCTTCTCATCCGATTTTTGTTTTTAATATTTTCGTCATTTTTTTCCAATAAGTATTGGAACTTTTTTAACTTGTGTACTAATTTATTTATTATTTGATTGCGACCTTGCTGTATTATCTTTTTATTGCTTATAACAATATTATTAAATTTTAGTTTGTTAAACATGTTTATATTTTTCTATATTTTAAATAAACACATGTTCGGCAATTTTTGTTGATTTTGTTTTGTTAACATATGACACTCAGGGTTGTATTTTGTTACAATATTTAATACGTTCAAATTGTATCATAGAGTAAGCCAGAGATTTATCACGATATTAGCTGTAAAGTATCCTACCTAGGGTCGCACTTTTTCAATTCTTTGGGCCTATTTACACTATCATGAACGTAACATGATCCGGTTAGCGATAGATGGGAGAGGGAAGAGAGTGTGATGTGAATTCATGAATTTCACGCGATGAAATTTGCTGCGTATCTTCAGCTTGACACGCATACATATGCAATGTTATGTTTATGTTTACCTTTTAATTTACGTTTAAACAAAACAAAACAAATTTCAAGCTCATGAGAATTCATTATAGTGTTAACTGAACTGACAGTTCATCTCATCTCAGTGATGTTGTCGTCAAGTTCATTTCACGTTCATGATAGTGTAAATAGATCCATTAAGAGAGCTAAATTCTATTTCCCTAGCTCGTGTCAATGGCTTTGTGGTCAGTCCTAAATGGTTATAGTAACAGGTGTCAAATTCTCAAGTGTATCACAATAGACTTCATGGTCTAAGTGCGTGACCCTTTGGGGGATGTTGAACTGCACTTGGTCGTCTTCGATAAGTGGCTCCGGGACGTAGACCCGGCCGTTTTTGGAACCTAAATCATGATACTCATTTATTACATATAAAAAAAAATATTTTACTTAAATGCATTGAACGCATTTAATAATACTTTATTTAAATACTAATATGTGTATGGTATGAAGAGGTTACTAAATAGAATGTGTAACACACAAGAAGATGTTTCGTCTATAAAAGTAAATTGAAAACTTGTTTGAAAATCTATTATATTAAATTGAATTTGCTTAATTCAGTGTAAAAAAATCCATACCAATTTAAATTTAGTATAAAATAGTTGCGTTTTTACTCTCTTTGAAGGTCCAATTCCTACTGTTTATTATTATGAGTATGGATTTTTCATTATGCTCAACAAACATTATAGATTTACAATAAAACAGTTCTAAACTCTTGAATTTATTAATTCTCATTTATTAATGAAGCTACAAGTTAGAGCAAAAATAATTATTTCACAATGTGTTGTGCTTATTAAAAATAAAATACTTTAATACGTTCATTGATAATATTGTCAATATCATGTTCCTTTTATATATAATTTATATTAATATTGAATTTTTAAAAAGGTTTTCGTGAATTTCGTGTGCTGACTAAACATTGTGGCCATAATCCACGAATTGAGATACGAACTGCTATCCCATCCAGCATATTCTCCAGATTTAGCCCTCCTGCGACTATTTCCAAACCTAAAGAAATGGAAAGAAAAAGAAAAATTCACTTATTTCTATTTTCGTAAAAATTTACGAGATTGTCTGCTTTGAACGGCTATCAAACATCAACTGAACGACGTAGCTTGCTCAAAATTAAAAAGTTGCCCACTAGTAGATTACAGAAATTTAAAAAGGCACTGACTTATCAAACCACCCTCGTATTATCTCTACAATTCTGTTCTACAATCGTTATTACAACAACCTCTTGCTTAGTTTACTCTCATTCAGTAATTACTGTATAGCAAGAACATTCTACCTACAGTCACTAATTTACAAAATTGGCTTCGATATATTTGTTGTCAAAATACTAAGCCTTCATTAGTCTAAAATTCGCCTTTTCCTTGATACCTAGAATGGAGTTTCAGATTTTGACGTTAATAAGATAATGTTGGAATTTATCCCATATTGGATTCTTAAGTGGTGGTTTTAATGGGGTAAAGTCTTACACTGTGACATTCCATGCATTGCACTTACCAAAAAAAAAGAGTTGTAAATAATATTATTAATATAATATTATATTATTAGTAGATTTTACATTCGGTAACGTAAATGTGTTAAACAATTATTTTAAAAAGTCTTCGAACTTTGATTCTATGTAGTAAACTAATTTACATATATTTACCCGATATTGCAATGGTAACCTTTGCAAAACTTTTGATATTTTAATATATATACGCCATTATTATGACGATATTATAATACAAATATGTTACATGTCATATAAAATTGGAGACTTAAGTTAAGTTAGAAAAAGTCCGTAATTGAACACACTCTTTATTTAACAAAAGCCAAAATGGCGACAGTGTGTTAAAGAAACGGCAAAAAACGGGTGGAAGAAAATTGTTTCTTTCGATTTTAATAGTATAATAAATTACTAGGTTTTAGTAAATTAGGTGCAAATAAATTAATTGCTTAAATTAAAGAAAGTATTATAAATAAATAGCGTTGAAGTGATTTAATTACGAATGTTCTGGAATTTTAGCTGAGATTTTAAATAATCGCCCAGTGTTGTGTGTGTGTTTGTGTATATATGTGAAAACAAGGAGGAGCAAAGCAGTAAATTAATGTGAGGAAAAATACTCATGTTTTCTTTTTTGTAATAAAAATATATACAAAATTCTTAAATCGCAATGAAAAAATGTTTATAGAAAAAGGCTATTTATATAAAAATGCCTTCTAGAAATGAGTCACGTTTTGTAATATATTTTCAATTGGCAATTTCAATTAATTTTACTAGTTCATCTCGTTAATGGATGCATTTGTGTGTGGCATGTTTTTTCATATACACCATTTTTTCTTATATGCTTGCAGTTTTTTATGCTGCAACATCACAACAAAATTTAGTTTTTGTAAGACAACAGGCATCCCAGCTGAAACCAATACACTCATACAAATACGTACACTTGCAACAGCACTGAGCCGCCGCACTTATTGAGGCATAAAGAAACGTTTAATAAAGAAACCCGCAGACAACAATGACGGAGTACAAATTAGTTGTAGTTGGTGCGGGTGGTGTTGGCAAATCTGCACTTACAATACAATTAATACAAAATCATTTTGTAGACGAATACGATCCGACAATTGAAGATTCCTATAGAAAGCAAGTGGTCATAGGTAAAGTTTTTTTAAATCATATATCTTAACGACATACTTTATTGTAAAAACATAATTATTTTCAGATGGTGAAACGTGTTTACTAGATATTTTAGATACAGCAGGGCAAGAAGAATACTCAGCTATGCGTGATCAATATATGCGTACGGGGGAAGGGTTTCTGTTAGTCTTTGCTGTAAATAGTGCAAAGTCCTTCGAAGATATAGGTAAGAAGAATTGCTTATATGAGCAAGATTGAAATTATAACCGACAAGAAAAGTTAAGTGCTTATATTAAATATCAAATTCGGGAGTACTACGTTTTTTAGAGAATATTGTATCTTCTAAATGTGCATCCACACCAAACCGAACGCTTGCGAACGAACGAATATTCACAGGTATTCGTACCTGCAAAAACTCGTTCGTTCGCAGTGATTCTCTTTGGTGTGGATGCACCTTAAAGAGTGCAAGGTATTTAGATTTAGTAAAAAAAATAATGCTTTTAGGTTCCCCAGCTTACCGAACATGTTAGGTAAAGTTAGTATGGTGATCCCATGAAATTGACTTCCATATAGGCCAAATACATTTATTCCCATTTAAAAAATCTATATATTATTTCTCTGTTTAAAATTTTCTCCTAATGGATTATTAAACGAATTACTTTTATCAATTTATGATTATTTATTTCTCGCTTTCAATATAGTCGCCTACCAAAAATAAGTTTTTTGTTAAATATTTTTGTACGTAATCACTATTTTATTAAAAATTTAAATACGCTTAAGAAAATATCTCTCTTTAAACTGTTGCATTCATAGCAACTGCAATGTACGTAAAATCATACAGGTAGGATATCGACAAGATGTGACAGGTTTTAATACCAAGTCAGTGAATTCTTTTAGACATCCACGTTAAGGTTTTTCAACACGTGCTAAGCAGTCACATCTGCGACTTTAATGTGTCTATTCCCATTATGTGCTTTAATAGTTCAACTGTTTTACTGCACACACAAAGTTATAGCTGATTAATTTTTGATTCTATGGAGCAAAGTCGCTAGGGCTAGTTTCAATATTTTTTCTCTACACTATCACTCAATTCGATGGTTTGCTCCTTATCTCGCATATTTTAACTACTATCTTACTACAATAACAACAAAGATAGGTAATCCCATAATAATGACTTTAAGCACATTCTATTCAGCTGCTTTGTACTGAGTAATATTCTAGCTTAACCTTATTTAGGTAACAAAGATCCGTTACATGAGCTAGAACCAAACAATTGCGTAACAAATACTCTTATTTATGTTATACTGCCTTCTGTACAATTGTTTTATTATAATTATTTTTTTTTTGGTTTGTTGATAGAGTTAAGTTATAATCGAATTTATTTCATATTTATAAATTCTCTATACACTATTAATTGACAATGCTACGTCTTAATCTGACGCAGTTTCAGTCGAATCAAACCTTTCAATTTTCTTGTTTATATATTTAAATTTCCATTATTCGACTGTTTCTGTATCTTTTTCTCTTTTTTTAATATGGCCTTGCATCAATCCCTGAGTTTTTTTACAATATGTGTGAATATGCTTCCTCTTCGTTTGGGCATTATTTGCAACAAGAGCTGTGTTTTATACGAAGCGCAGGTCGTTGTTATTGTAGCCCGCAGGGATCTAAAAAACAAATAACATAAAAGGAATTACATGACGAATAAATAGGTTAGGGTATGGATTGGGAATGGTTGAGTGGGATTGGTGGATTTTTAGCGAGTGGGGTTCTAGCTGGGCCTAAATTTCGGAGGTATTCTTCAACTTTGATGACTAAGAGCAGTTCATCGCCCCTCAAAAGAAGTTTTACAAAAATTTATGTGTTTATAAGACATTTGAAGACGTTTGTGCTTATGAAGAAACTACTTTCAACACTTACTACATATTTTTATGGAAATAACAAATATATTTTTCCACAAGTAGCCAAGGTTGTACAAACTTTCAATGCTCGAGTTCCAGATAATGAGTTCTTGGCAGCCTTTTCCGAGTTAGTGCATCTGGCCTTTTTTACTCTATAATGGGTGGGGGGTTTCTACAGAGTCCCACCCATCTCACTGACTAATTTGAGTATTAATCATAATCTTCGTGATTATTCAATGATTGATCTAAGATCTGCGTACCGCCCCGTGTGGTTAGTGATTACTTTGAGATTAGATAGTGCTAGTTACTCCTGTCGGCATGGTATGGTCAGCCAAATTTCAATTAATTAAATAAATTTTTGTCCTTCTCTTTTCTTTGCTATTCGAATCCCTCTAACTCTTAAATAGTTTCTTTTCGTCATAAAGACGCGTCACTCTCGGTAACAAAATATTAACAACAAATATGAATTTGTATAAAATGGAAAATAATTATTACCATTATATATATATTTATCAATTAATAAATTTATTATATCAGTAATTTTATAACATAAACTAATGAATATTTAATTTTTTAATGTAGGCACATATCGTGAACAAATTAAACGTGTTAAAGATGCTGAAGAAGTACCGATGGTACTTGTTGGCAATAAATGTGATCTACAGGCATGGGCAGTAAATATGAGTCAAGCAAGAGAAGTGAGTATACATAATTAGTTAAACTTTACAATTTATATAATTAAAATTTAAAATACTTTTAGGTGGCCAAACAATATGGCATTCCATTTGTTGAAACATCCGCCAAAACGCGTATGGGTGTAGATGATGCATTCTATACGTTGGTACGTGAAATCCGCAAAGATAAAGAGCATAGAGGGAAAAAGAATCGTAAGCATAATAAACTGCCGCATCGTAAATTTAAATGTGAGTTGCTTTAAATAAAAAACAAAAAAAAAAACGAATGGAGAAGCAACTATAGGTTGATATAAACGATGAAGAGAAAAAAAGCACTTTCATATTTTTTCATATAATACTAATTCGTAAACAAGAAGTAAAATACCCAAAACGGTATTTGATATATATAGATATATCAGAACATATATAAAACAAAATCAGAGGATAAAATATTTCATCATTTAGTTACAATATTTTTTATTAATTATAAAAAGGTAAACAAACCTTTTTTTGCTATCGAAATTGATGAAGAAAAAAACAACTAAAATTATTAAACCAGGCAACGAGCACAAATTTTTTCCAAAACAAAATTTAAATATTTTTTCAAATTGTATTAAATTTTGATATATATTCGCTCTTACTGAGTTTTGAGTTAAGATAAACAAACATTCTAAATTAAAGTTAAAGAGTTAACCTTATTAAATGTAGAAATGTGCCCAATAGAATTTTTCTACATAGGTGCTACCACTGCAATAAGGTTGTGTCACCCCAAGGTAAAGTAATTCAGGAAAATTATACTGTCTGCCGTCAAACATAATTATAGTGAAATTTAAAACTATTGACTATATGTATTTTAATAATACTTCACTAATTATTTCCGAATATATTCTGACACATTCTGACAGTTGTTCAAAATTTTAAATTCTTATTGGGACCTGTTGTGATGATAGTTAATGTTAAAATGAAAACAAAAAATTTTTAATATTGAAAATGTTTACACAAAATTTTTTTCTAACTTTTTTTCCATCTACATGGAGTCTCGTAGATTCCGCGATAAAAACTAACCTACCCTATTCCATATTGTTAATGCAATTAACCAGCATTTTATTATGAAGTAAGGAGCTTATAGACGACAAACATTGGTTTGCAACGCCGTTGTTAGCTTCAGTAGTTTGTGATAAAATAATTCATCTATAATGTCAAACTGTTTGATTTTAGTTTAAATCTTTTATATGTATGCGTACTTACCAATATTTTTGATTAACATTTTGGCATATATGTTTGTGAATATAGTTATGTTTATATGTATACATTTACATTTAAAAGCTGATTTAGTTGTGCCGCAAACAATCAACAGACGCATGTTAACTTATGAAAAACAGTGCCTAAGGAGCATTAGTATTAATATGTATAATCGATAGAGAAAAAAAATATGAAATATTCTCCTTCAAATGTGAAGCTAACATGCTTCACTTATTTCTATATATATCTCTATCTTCTAATGATAATTTTCAGTTAAGGTAACATTTTTGTTTTATATAGTACCTTTCTCTCTTTACGATCATTTTCATTTAAGTTTGTTAACATAAAAATATTAGTCTCCTGTTCAAAATAATTTATAATTTCGAAAAACATCGAAAACATAGTATCAATTTTTTCCATTGTTTTTAAACAAAACTTGCAAGTTTTCAGGATAGTTGTGAATTACCTCTAAGACAATGATATATAGAAATTTATATCGCATAAAGTACATTTCTGGAAAAGTTACCTAAAGGCAAGTGCCAGGAGTCGATCAGAAAACAAGAAAAAAAATTGTTTTACTTTTTTTCGTTAACCCATTAGTATTTTCTGCAATGTAAACCAGTTTTTTTTTTTTTGTAATTAGATGAAGTATGTTTGTATACATTAAAGTATTATTAATATTTTAGTAAAAAAACAAAAAAAATAAAACTAGAACTTATTTTAGTTTTAAATTAAAATGACGATTTATTTAAATTTGGTTATAGATGGGTTAATATTTAAAAACTATAATTTAATAATATATACTATCGTTTTTAACTTCGTCTATGTCTCCTTATTATTAAATAAAACAAAAATTAAGTTTAAATTATGTTCACGTTTAAATAAAATTATATTTTTAATGAAGAATGTTTGTTTAATCAGGACTTCATCATGTTATAAATTTAATAATAAATTACTTAATGATAATTTAAAGTAGTTGATCTCTTAATTAAGTAAATTTATTATTTATATAAATGCAAAACTCGGTGAGAGCTCATTAAAGATATTAATAAGTTTCTGCTGTAATGTTTTTATATTTTTAACATAAATAATAGAAAAAAGAAAAGCAGTAAATTCCTTACGAACGCACAAATCTATAATTTTTTGTATTTTTTTGGAATTAAAAAACTTTAAAAATATTTTTTAAAAATTTTGTGTTTATCATTTTGGTGCTAAATGAAAATTTGCGTGCAAATTTTATATTTTGTGTTAAAAAAAGAAAATTGTTGCAATAGAATTTAAAATCGCTTCCATACATTTAATCCGATTTATTCAACGATAGTTTATTTTTGGAAATATTTTTTTAAACAAAATTTTATTGCAGAAATTGTAATTGAGAAATACTTTTAATTGCCATATTTAATTATTTGCAAGTTTTATTACGTTTTTACAGTAATTATTAACAATATTTAACTGATAATAAATATTATACAACATTTTATTAATAATTTATAAAAAAAATATTATTTTAAAAATTATTATAATTTTTTTATGCAAATTATATGTATGTGTTTTTAGCTTAAAACTAAGTACTCTGCCAATTAAAAATCGGAGATTTTTTTATGTAAGATTTTATTTAATTTTTTTATATAAATTAATTTTTTTTATTTATCAATTTATTGATATAAACACAAATATATTATTGCAAAGTAAAATAATAATAAAAATGTTATTTTACATAACATTGAATTAATTGTGTTTATTATAAATTATACATAAACAAAGTATGAAAAATAAAATTAAAAGATTGTATACCGAAAATATATATTTTGTATTAGTTTTATTTGAAGATAATTACAAGTCACTTGTCTCAACGAATGACCGACCTTGTAGCGATTATACTTTCCATCCATCATGGACCCAAAAAGACGGTAATACTATTTGGGCCACAAATGTTTTTACTAATCTATGGTATTAAACAAAATTCAGATTGTAAATCGAAAGAGCACAATTTCTCGAAAAATAAAATTGTAGACAGATAAAATAGATAAAAAACAACTCAATTCAAAGTCACTCATATGTACGATGATCATGTGTCGCTCACCTATACCATGAAGGACCCAAAAGGGCTGGCCGCCTTTCTGGGAAACGACAATAATTTATTTGGGTTACATCAGCATGAGGACCATATAAGGAATCTAATTAATTGCTTATATTAAAGAAGTTTAACTAAATAGAGAAATCGTTTTAGAAACAAGCGTTTTGGATCATGGACCCAAAATGACGGTAATACTATTCGGGCCATAAAAGTTTTTACTAATCTATGGTATTAAACAAAATTCAGATTGTAAATCGAAAGAGCACAATTTCTGGAAAATTAAAATTGTAGACAGATAAAATAGATAAAAAACAACTCAATCCAAAGTCACTCATAAGTATCGATGATCATGTGTCGCTCACCTATACCATGAAGGACCCAGAAGGGTTGGCCGCCTTTCTGGGAAACGACAATAATTTATTTGGGAATAACAGCTACAATTATTATATTATTTGGAGAGTAACTTTATGTTTTCATAAAAGAAAGTTTATTGGATTAACTTTAACAATATTTTTAAATACTTGTTTTATTAAAGTGTAAAAGATTTTTATTTATTGAATTTTGAAGCGATCTGATAACAAAGAAGGAAGCACCAAGGTACAAAAATAAATATTAATAGATTTATAACCATAATATTGTCCACAATTTGATATTACCATCGTTTGCATTGTTTAAGTACTAAAAATAGACTACAACTATTACAAACTTGTGAAGAGTGAAGTAAATAACTTAGAAAATTGTAAAAATCTTTATACAATCCTTTTATATTTTTTATGAATATTACATTCTGAAAGTTCAGGCAAAAGGTCAGCTATTTATTTAGGAACCAAAGCGCATATTATTCATGAAATTTTTTGAACATTTGAAAGTTTGACATAAAAGTTGGATGAAAATCAAAAACTTTGATATTTTCACAAAATTGGTCTTGTTTTGTCGTACACAATCGGATTTTTGACGACTTATATTCAAAATTTCATTCACTATAAGGGATGGAAGCGAGAGCATCGTTTAAATGCATGCATGATGTTATTTTGCAGTAAATTTGTTGTTAATAATAATAATATGAAGGGAATAAAATATCAGTTGAGATGTTAAGATTTCTCCACCCAGTCCCAGGTAAGCTTCACTCATCCCTACCCATACCTCAACTTTACTCCTCTAACTTACTCCATATTATTTTAGTTATCTCATCCGAGGCCTCTGTGCAGTGATTTGTCAACTTTTTATGTACTTGCTTTCAGGTCAGCCTTTGGCTACTACCACAACATTAAAACAATAACTGCAACATCATATCATCGAGAGTTTATGCTTCTTGGTATTAATTGATTTGTATCTATAGTAATTAGTCGAGTGATATTTTTAATTCTGTTATTCTTAAAAAAAAATCCAAATTTTTCTTTCTTTGTGGACGATTTTACGCTCAAGTGGACTAATTTCTTTCCATCTATCCTAAGATGATTGAGGACCATATAAGGAATAGGTATAATTAATTCCTTATATTAAAGAAGCTTAACAAGCGTATTGGATGGCATATCTAAATTTTAGATGGTAAATTTAAGTTTCCAATGGCACATCTAAGTTTTCGATGACACATTTAATGTGGGGTGTAAGATGTGAAGTTGAAGTTGATCGCAAGACTTCGCCGAATTAGATATAGGGGATATAAGAATATAAGAGATAGGCAAAATAATCTTTCAGTGCATTTGTATACAGACATAGGCAAATGATTTTGGTAAAACTGTTCATGTTTTAATAGATGTGTGCAAACTTGAAATAACCTATCTAAGAGTGTTTTTTTTATATGTTGACAAAGATTTCTATATAACATATTTGTTTGTTAAAAATGTAGATTTCTAACCGTCAACGTAGAAAAAATATCCCAAGCAGATAAAAGTTAATATTATTCTATTCTATAAGAATGCCGGATGTAAGATTACCACTTAAGATTTATGAGAATGAAGTAGGAACCAGCAGAAGAAGAGGGCGACCAAAAACACGATGGAAAGGGAGTGCGCAGCAGGACTTTAAAGAAATGAACATAAGAAATTGGAAAACAAAAGCAAAAAACAGAAAATTGGAAGACTGTTGTTAAACACGCTTAGGTCCTACATGGACTGCATAGTCACCAATGATGATTGTTCAATAAGGAATTGAAGGAATTAAATATTCAAATATTTATCGCTGCGTATATTCGACAAATAGGTATACACATACATACCAAAATGTATCTTAAGTATATTTAGCCGACCTCTGACTTGTTCACTCTCTTCCCTTTTACTCTAATACAAATATCGTCAAAAATGAAGCAATTCCCTTTTCATTTTTAAATTAAGTAATTCTTGAATGGTCACTAACGTAGAATGGATATGGATCAACTTAACACATAGATTGGATACAACCTAACGGTTTCATGAAGGCAAAATTTAGCATTGAAAGGTTAAACTCTGAAAATAGTCTATGTGAATATGAACTTATTTAAAATTATTCATAGAAAACTTTATTAGATTTTTCGCTTAGCAAAGTAATAACTCCAACAATTTGAATTATTCGTACTAGTTCTCACTCTCTGTAACAGTGGCGGGGCTAGGCGTCAGAGATGTCGCGCCCACAGGGACCTTGCAAAAAGTTACCGATTGTGGATTCTAAACACTTAATAATTATTTTGAACAATTTGGTTTGATAATGGCATTCACCATATTCGAAGTATTTCCGAATGTTTACACAGTAACCAGATTCATAATCACAGTTCCAGTCAGTATAGTTTCGACAGAAAGAAGCTTCTCAAGAGAATCTGTCTCCATTGGAAATTCTATAAACTGAAGTGAAAATAGCAAATTATGATATAATTTAAAAAAAAAAAATTTGAAAAATTTCTGAAAGTAGAAAAATTCATTTATTTTAATTTGTGTTTATTTTAATTTGATTAGCAATAAAACATTCAATCATGCTTTGTCGTATATATATTAGTGAATGTAACTTATTTACTTTTACAAATGGGTTATGTCGCTGACGTCCAGAGTTGGTCTAGCTCCGCCACTGCTCTGTAATATATAACAACCGAGTTTAACTTGTAAAAATAATAACTTAAGTTTTTATTGTAACTAAAATATACACTAAATTTACTAATATAATTTTTTAATTCATGTTCCCTTATAATATAAATAAGTTTAGTTTATAAGTTAAATTTAACCACGAATTGCAATGCATTATGATAAATTTCATAACAATATAAATAAGACGAAATAATGCAACTATGCAAATTCGCTTCAGAACTCACTCATCCACTTAACTATTGTGAATAATTGTCAAAACTACTAGTGACGAAAAAAATATTTATAAAGCGATAAGCAGAAATTTGTTACAGAAAGAAAAATCGTTTTTGCAGCTAAAATAGTTATTTTAAAATTAAAAATATTTGTACACAAATGTGCACTAACTACTAGAAATTAAAATGTAAGTGAAATATGTGTGTGAATTAGGTTTTTAAATGATTAAATTCTGAATGAAACCAAAAGCATTTTTGTTGTCTTTTGGGTGCTTCTTGGCCATTTGAGTTTCGAAGTTTCTTAAAAATTGAAAAATAATTAGAATAGTTGTGTTAACGAGTTAATTAAAAGCATTTAATTAGTTAAGTTGAAATATAAATTCCTTTTTGCAAATATTAAAAACTATTTCAGCGGTATAAGAGTATAGAAAAAAAGTTTTTCATACAATTTAATTTTCTTATTAGTCCAGTCCCTTGGACGCTTGTTTGTATTGTGTATTTTGTGCAGTGTGCACTTTGTGTAAATTCAATTCATTTCCCTACGGCACACATAGTTGCTTGTTTTGGTTTTGTTGGCTGTTATTGGCTGTTGTGTAATTTTAAGTCTGCTTCAACAAATTCGCCGCAATAATTTCGCTTTCTTATCAGTCAAAGAATTTCAGTGTTTGTTGATTGTTGTGGGAAGGTTGCGATGTTATTAAATTCATAAAACATTTTGTATCGGATATATTTATGTATGGGTTTTTTTTTATCAGTTTATGCAAATTTCAAGGCATATTAATGTAAAATAAATATTAAATTTGAAACGTGTTAATGTTAAGAAGTTGTTGACATTTTGTTTGGTGCAAGTGTTTAAAAAATATTGGCGTAAAAAAGCTAAAAAAGGCGAAGAAGTCATAAAAGGTCAACAAGCACGAAATTATTATTTTTTGTGGAAATGTAAGAATTTTATACTTAATTAGTATAATCATTTTATGTTTGTATGAATTAATTTAAAAATGAATTCAGTGTTATTTTTACAGAATTCATTATATAGAAACTACGATAATTAAAGTGCTTATCTACCAGTTAACGTCAGTCACACTTATTGTTCCCCAAAGACTACGAAATTAGGTTTTCGAGTTGAATTTTTTTCAAAGCATTTTAAAGACAAATGGATGACCTGTTAAAATTTTGAATAAATCTATTTCAACTTTTATCGAATTGGATATAACATGTCATGGTATTAATTCTTATACTGTGAGCTGAATATTTAGAAAAAAAGGTATAATTCTGTTATGTTTAATTAGCGTAATTAATAGTTAATAGTGAGTTCTTATTCTCTTTATCCGATTATAATTTCAGTTTTTTAAGAACGTCATTAACCCATTAATTACTAGGCATTTTCAGCCTAGAAATTTTACGATGAAATTGAAGTAAATGAGAAAAGTATAATATTTATTTGAAAGATTACGCTCACTTTTGTTTACTTTAAAAATATGAAATATTCTTTGAATATTAAAAAAATATTCAAAGCTAGCCTTGCGACGCATCACACGGTGGTCTGAAATGGGTTAAAAATTGTACAAATATGGTTTTCTTATTTGCCGCAGAAAGTAATATTAATATTATTATTAACATGTGCTAACGTTAAATAAGAATATTTCCTTAATAACCTTTCTTCCTCAAATAAAAAACTAAATGACCTCAAAATTTATTCCACATTGAGGACTCTATAGCATAGATGCAAGCACTATTTCATCTGAATCTTTTGGGCGTATTCATTGTTATGCGTATTGCTAAAAGTGACTGTTAGACATGGTGAGTCGTCCGTCACCAAGTTCTGTATATATGATATAAGAAATAGAAATTGAAGTATTAGGAAGGAGCGCATAATTTAACATACTCCAAAGAACATGTCGTTACTGATAACCATTTATGTATATCAGACGATTTATCCACCTTAGGGAGTTAATACACTGTCAATATATTCAAACGGTTAAACGTTAGCCATGAATTCCGATACTATTTACATAGATTTGCTCTTCTGTGTATTTTTAAAAAATAACAGTCCATATAGCTTAAGTTAAAATGGTATCCCTTAACAAGGATAGTTAAAAAGTAGTTGAGACTATTCCAGATCGTTTATAAAAGTTTCTGTGAAAGTAGTTAGCATCTGTTAAAATAGCATTTATAGTAATAAATTATTTTTATTAATATAGGTTATTTTTTTAATATATAATTTGTTGTCCTTAATGACATTTCTTAACAAAATAGATTATCAACTGATTTATTTTTTCCGGTATACCTAAAACTACAATAGTCACTACATAGTGGCAACAATTAAAAAAAGTATTTTGTAGATTAGATTTTCGTAAATATCTATTGCAGAATTTTCTGTAGCGATTAGATTTTTTTTATTTAAAAATTAGTACTTGCTTCATAAAAGACAATTGCGTTCTTTTAACATTTAAAAGCAAATAAGCTATGATCGGCAAGATACCTAATACATCCAAAAAGTCCAAAATACATTATAACTGGTAAATGCAGCAGTACTTATCAAAAACTAAGATGGTTAGTGTGATAGATAAATGCAGTAGAGTAAGAAGTAAAATATTGTTAATGTTTGTTTAATGTGCACAAGCTGTTCCATAGGATATTAGAAACTATAATGAATAGATGAAGTTGATCAAGATGCAGTAGAGTATGGAATAGGATAGTTTGATCTTGTTAAATAACTCACCTTGTGGTGGTAAATCTAAATTGGGATACAATAAATTAATTGATTTAACAATTTCTTAGTATCATTTTATTAAATCCTTAAATGATAAATATTTAGTTGGTCTTACTAATAAATTACTAATAAATAAATAATAAATATATAATGTATTAATATGTAGGTAATACAAAGTCAGGCTCTGAGAACATTTTTCAAAGTACCATGGTACATTAGGATGAATGACATCCTCAGGGACCTCAAGATTGATCCCATCAAAAAATACATAAAGGATAGAGCCCTGAAATTATTCGTGAAAACTGACAGACTTACCAACACCGCGTTATCAAATATCAGAATGGTTACAGGGTCCTCGGGGAGGTATGCAGATCTGAGGTCAATTATTGCTTAGTCTGATAAAGTGATAAACAATAATCCAGTCAAGGCGTAAAGAGGGGTTTTAAAAATACCTCGAGTTAAGAAAGAGTAAAACCGCTCAAGTGCACTGGCTCAAATATATTTACAAAATATTGGTCTTGCCCGTGCGACTAGTGGAGTAACATTAGCATAACTTTCTCAGGATTACGTTCCTAGATTAGGTTCTATACATAAGAAAGAACAAATCATGCAACAAATAATGCCTTTACGAAAAGAATAGTATTAAAAATTTAACAATTAAAAATAAAAATATACTTAATTAATTAATTCAATTATTCTACAGCTGGTTTATGATTTCGTTTTAATATATATAAACACAGCAAGTAAAATCGTTAATAATAAACTTTCATAGAAAAAGTAACAAAACTCCAGAAAAATATGCGAACAAAAAAGTCAAGTACGGCTTTGGATCCTGGTACTTGCAGTCTCAAAAAAAAAAAATAATTATTTACGAATAATTAAATACAAGAATTATTTCCAAGATCACTGATGATGGGTATTTGGCAATACTCAAAACAGCTGTATGGTCAGACAAAAATTCAATTAATTAAAATATTATAAAAAAAATAAAATTTTTGTTGTTGTAGTTCACTACTGTTCGAAGAAACCTCTTTACAAATAATTATAGTTATTTCTACATAAAAACAAATCAGCTTTTTTTTCATACAAAGCATATATGACTTAATCTGTTATTGTATTTCATAGTTACTTTGAAACTCTATACTTATCTATATATTAACATCTGTGGTATATTAGTAAGCTACTTATACCATATATAAACTTACTCAAATAGATTCAATATTATTTTTAGAAATGTTTGTTTATATATTTTTCTAATGATTAGATAAGTTAATGTAGTTTTAGTAATACGTTGAGATTTTATGACTCGCAAAGATATCGTCCGAGTTCCTGATAGTTACTTAAGACGGTTGTCATTTGTGTAGCGTATCAATTGATTTAAACAAATATCATTACTCTGCTAGTCCTAACAGTCCGTCCCCAGTGTCTGGTTAGAACCATTTTGTCATTTTGTCATTTTCTATCAACAGTTTTTGACTTTCATTATAAATAGATCGTATAATACTGGGATATTTACAGAGATTTTATTTGCATTTCATGCTCGGATAAGGAGTGCCAATGCATATATTATTATTGTTTATAATCAATATTTATATATAAATTGACTAATAAGAGTTATCATTAGTACATTGTCTTTTATATTGTTCTTCTTCAATTTCATCACTCATTATTTTTGTTTTTACAGAAACTTATTTTTTTATATTTTCAACTGAGTTCATTTTTGGAGTATCCACCGTATTTAACATAGTTTATACAACTAATTTGTAACCTTATAAATAGTGATATATTATTACCTTTACAGTGTGATTGGAATGTAACTACAAAAGCTAGCTTTTAAGTTCATGTTGGGATTAGAGATCGCCTCTTGATTATTTAAAAAAATGAGTAGAGTCAAGAGCTTCTGACACCTTGGTATGGCTTAGCTTTAATGTCGTGTTTTATTTAGGAGCATTCTGCTTTTATATTCTTATTCATAATCGAATAGTTGTAATAAAGTGCCATATATTATAACATGGCATATATAACGTTATTGAAATTGTAAATAAACTTATCTAAAATGTAAAAAATTCATTACAAAATGTGAATTTAGATTTTTAGAAATTTATTTTTGTTTGCACATAATTAACACGTTTGATAACACTATTTACGTATAGACGGCAAAAAGCTTCTCTCACATTCAATTTGTTTCAATTTAAGATTTCTATTCCGCCTGCCTCCCGACTTGCCTCCCAAGCTCTAATAAAAATGAAACTATTTTGCTTTGTAGATTTATATAAAATTGAAAGGAGCAGAGGGCGTTCGAGTTCAGGCATTGACCAACAACTTTGAGTCGGGTTTTCTGTGTGATTAAATTAATAATTGCTATTCAAATAGGAAATAACCATTTAGTTCAGAGTTCAATTTAATTTGATCAATTTATAACTATTTCTGTTGTTATTATCATATGCCATGATTTTTCAAACTATAACACTTTACAATTAAGCAAAAGAGACAACTTACTTGGTGGATAAAATAAATTATTTAAATTATTTGACTATGTTTTCTTACTTTACACCAACAAATTCAATAAACATTGAAAGTGTGCTCCTGAATTGAATTGTAATTGTTTTCTCTGACATAGATGCAATCTTCAATCAGCCGTCTTCTATTGTAATAAACATTAATTTTATTAATTTAATTTGTAAGCGCTACTAATATTAAATATTACTCGTATTAATATTTGTATTAAATGTTTAATATTAAATATTATTTTTTTATAAAATTTATAATTAATTTATTATAAAATAGTATTCCTTAATTGAAGTAGCTGCATTATTTTCCTATTGATGATATTAGAGATCATTGTCATCACATATTGTGTGATTTATTATTAGAATTAAAACTAAAACTAACGACAAGTATATCTATGTGATAGTACACAGAGTAACCCGAATAAACAACCCCTAAACATCTATCGTTCATATCGAAAGTACTTCTTGGAACGGTCGTCATATTCCGTCAGAAAGAGCGTTATGTAAAAATAACTTAAAATTTGTTAGTTGCATTGATCAATTCCTCCCTGTTAGCATTCCAAAAGATTAAAATCAGGTTGCTCAGTTATCTCGCGCAATTCAATTTCTAGATCATTCAACATAATATCGTAGATTTTTTCAATGTTTTTTTAGTTGTGATATCTTTTGGACGACCCGGATGCTCTTCATCAAAAAGACTCGACCACCACATTTAA